AGATTTGCAGATGACCCGGTAATTATGGCTGAGAGTATAGAAGATCTACAAACTTTACTAGATGCAATAAATAGTGAATGCATTCAAATGGGACTTGACATCAACACAGATAAGACCAAATTTATGATAGTATCAAGGAGTCCAATAAATAATGAACAACTAACTCTTGGTGGACAGCAAATAGAGAGAGTGACAAAATATAAATATCTGGGAGCTTACATCAACACAGAATTAGATCCAGACCAAGAGATCCGGGTACGAATAGAAATGGCAAGGGCAGCGTTCTTAAAATTCAAACAATTGTTCTGTTAAAAAAATCTGAATATTGCGCTGAGACTGAGGTTTGTTGAATGTTACGTCTGGTCGCAATTATTGTACGGGGTAGAAACATGGACACTAAAAGCGCAAATAGTTAAAAAGATTGAAGCCTTTGAACTTTGGATATACCGGAGAATGTTGAGAATCCCATGGACTGCCAGGGTCACCAATGAGGAAGCGCTGAGAAAAATGGGTCGAGTCAAAAAATTGTTGAGAACGATAAAAGTACGCAAGACTGCATACCTTAGACACATACTAAGAAATAATAAATATAGTCTTCTGCAGGTCATCATGCAGGGTAGAGTCGATGGCAAAAAGGGAATAGGTAGAAAGAGGAAGTCATGGCTGCGAAATATTCGAGACTGGACAAACATGACTGTAGACGAATTATTCCACGTTGCAAACGACAGAGAAGCTCTTAAAAATGTGGTCGCCAACCTCCGTTAATGGGGACGGCATAGAAAGAAGAAGAAGCTGAAGATCCAAATATTTTTTGACTTAACCATAAATGGATTATTTTGTATAATTCATTAAAGTATTTGTTACATGCAAAAGTACTGCAAATAAAATGTTTCTTTTTTAAAATTCTGCGCTTATTATTATTATAAAATTCAAAACCCATTTTTTTGGTAAATTTCTCACCTTAAAAAATCAGGAAAAATTTTTATTGATTCTTAGTACATACATTTATTATTTATTTTATTTTGAATACCCATCTTGATTTCGTAATGTTTCAAATTTTCATAGTTTTCTTCATTTACATATTGGCGAACAATTTTAAATTCAGTTCCATGTTTCAAGTTTGTAAAACATTTTTAATTTTAAAATTTTTTGGTGTTTTCACAAGATAATATTTCTGGGCCTTTTTTCTTCTTTATATGTAGGGCCTCCTCAGTTTCACTTGCTGAAGGTCTCCCCCTTTTTACAGTGGTGAATCGCTCTCCGGTCATGCATAATGCTTCTGTTAGTTGTATTTTAAACTAAGCGTGTGTAACTTTAGGCTTCGCACCAGTTCTACGATCAGCTGAAAAATTCCAACTGTTTGCAACGGTTACATCTAGTAGATGGTAAAATATTCTAAAATACCATTTTTTACTCTTTAGAATAATTTTATTTCGTCCCGTATTGCTGATTAACAAATTAACACCACCCATATGACTGTTGTATTCTTGTACAAGATACGGAAAAATTATTTCTTTTGTTCTTTTTTCTTTCCTGTCATATCTCTTGGCAGTAGTTTTAAAAACTTTGCCAGCAAAAGTAGATAGAAATCTTATTAATTTGTTATATTTTTACACTAAGCTACTTATTTCCACATCATCGCAAGTACCAACAAACTCTACACTAGTTATTTTTTCTTTAATTTTTATAGCCTTTTTATCCAGAAGCTTACAATTTGAAACGGTTTTCTTTCTTACGGTTTCTAAACTGTGAAGGATACAAGGAGAGGTATAGAAGAATAATAATGATCAAAATAAAGCCTGTGACAAATGTTTGAAAATGTTTTATTGGGGTGGTTAATTATTGGTCTAATTTTATAAACTCAATCCTAGTTTGGATTGTCACTGGATAAGATATTCTCATTTTGCAGGCTTTTACATTATTGAAATGTGAAAATTGTTTGATTTTTTCTTACCTGTTGACTGACAGGACTTTTTATTTTCTCAAAGCCAATTTCTTCTGCTTAATGTCACTTCGTATAATATTCAGTGATTTGTTAAGATTCTGCTGTATGGTATATAAATATGATCCCTCCACAATTGTATCTTGAAGGCTATCTGTGAAGAACAACTTCAAATATTCATAGGGACTTTCTAGTTGAAGGATATGATTTGGAAGACTCTGATTTCCTCTAAATTCCAGTTGCCGTTGGGGTAAGTTCAATTTTTTCTACATCAACATCTAGTATTTACAAGCTGTCTGTGGTGACTGTAATATGACTTATGTAGGTAGAACAATGAGAACTCTGAATCAAAGAATCAAAGAACACCTTAATAACCCAGAAAAATCAAACTTTGGATATCACATTAAATTTAATAATCATTCCTTTTCTCCTTCTGAAAACAGTAAAATTTTACACAACATTCCCAATAAAAACTTTAGACTCATGAATCTCTTGGAAGATCTTGAGATATCTAAAGAAATGAAACTAAACCCTGATTGTTGCTTAAACACACAAATCAACCTCAATTGCAATTATAAACCTCTTTTTAAATTATTATGGGAGTCTTTAGAGGAAGAAGGGTGACCTCATGCAATCTTATTATATTTTTTCATAATTTTATATTTTTAAACAAAATTTTAAACTTTATTAGAAATTTACAACATTTTGTAATTCATTTGACAGTTATTCTTAATTGAAACATGAAAATATATTCATAAAAAATTTTTTATGCAAATTTCTAACAAATTTCCAACAAGAGATACAATTCTCAATATACTTAAGATAATGTAACATTAATACCATGTTTCTTCTTTATATTATTGTTGAACAACTTGAGCCCTTGTTTCTTAAGGATGGCTGTCAGATTGAACATACATTGACCTTGATCAATGACTTGAGTGAATTTACAAACTAATGTCATTCTGTATGATGTGATGAACACATAAAATTTAATTTAAAAACTTAATTTTTAGAAAGTCTTTGATGACTATTAGTAATCCCAAACTATTAAATAATTTTTTTTTTAAGAATTTAAAAAACAATATCTATTTCCTATATATGACGTTTGTCAACTGTCACTTTTGAAAAATCGTTTAAAAGGACCGCCATTTGATTTCATTAGTTCTATTCTGTCTACCTCCTCACATCAATCAATGGTCGGGTTCTTACACCCGTACCATGACAATAAATTTTTTCAATTTTTTTAACGTGTCTGTGAAGTCCAGTGTCGGTTTTTTATATGTTTTTTATAAGTTTTTTAAGTATTTCAACAACTAAAAAATCATAATTTCGACATATAAGGAAATGAGATCTCTCCATTGTAGTGGTATTTATAAATTGACGTAAGTTAAAAATTATAATCTTCACCAATTAGTACTTATAAGAACATTTTATTGTAGCATAGCTCTGATGATGGCTTTGTAAAGCCGAAAGCGCTCAGCTGGGATTTGCTTAAAATATACACACTTCAAAAATACTTTTTTACATTTCTTTTGACTTGTCTAGTATTTTTGATCACAGATTAATTGTAAAAAGAGTATATCTTTGCCCTTGGAGTAAACCAGAGTTTCTGGAGGCTCCTCCTCTACAGTACCAATAACTATATTTGTGTTTACAAAATTGTCATCCATTTCGTTCACTGGTTCTAAATCCTTATTATCAGACTTATCATATGTACTAACATGTTCGTCAGGAAAGAAATCTGGATCGACGATATCATCATCATCAAACACATATTTGCTATCTCGAAGCTATAATATCGGCAACTCCCTTGTCAGTCAGCGGCCTTTCAGCTTTCCTACCCATGATGTTTTATCTATAAGATAAAATTTACTAGATATGCATGATGTTGTTTGTAAACAGTAAACAACAATAACAAAAACTATCATGTTTGATAGTTTTATTGAGAAAGATAATGAGAAAAATATGCTCAGTACTATATACCGCAAGAAATCATGCATTTTACTTACCTTAATAATAACACGTAAATTATCTCAAATTACTTTGGTAAAACTAACAAAAAGAATCTGTAGCACGTGTAATCGTGTACACTACCTAACCAAGAAGACACAATACTGGTAACAAACACCATCTATGATTGTTTAGTCTACTTACACTGATTAATACTGCATTGTTAGTGAACAACGTCATGCACAAACTGATTCATCTTTATCTGACATTAAAATAAATGTTTAGTTTTAGTTATTGTTTTTAAACAACATGATGCAGTGTGAACGGTTAAACAAATTTTTAGTAAAAATTATTCTTTAAAAAACCCGCTATACTATTGCTTTGTGTAAAATTGGTAATTTTTTGTAAAATTAGCACAAAAATGGTACAAGTTACAAAAGAAAATTTGTTCCAAAATTTTTAGTTATTTTTGCTGATAACTTTTTTTCTAGCGTTGAAATAATTGCCAAATAGGCAAATCGTTTCTTCTAAGTTTTTCCTGATTTTTAGGAAACCATTTAATACATATAGAGTAATGCTGAGACTCCAATTAAAAAGATATATCACCTTATATCTGTGCTGAAAGTTCGCCTGTATGGCCCTGATTGTGACCATTCAACATTAAGTCCCATTTAGGACGTAAACATAGTTCACGACTGCACGTCCTTTTTTCTCGTTTTCTTTTTATTATTGATTCAGAAGTGATTCACTTCTGAGTTTTCTCTAAGGTCTTTTTGTTTGTCTTGCGTCCCTTTTGTTTTAACGAGTTGGAGCAAAATACCACAAGGTACGAATGTTATTTTTTCAAAAATGGATATTCATAACGGTATATATGCGGTACATATGCGGCGACAGTGCGTTTGGATCTCCAAACGCGGGTAATGATAAATTCAAATCCTTCACTCCACATTACTTATTCGGAAAATAATTAGTTTAGAAGTCAGTTATCGTTAATCCTTACCATAACATTATCGCCCTACAGAAAAATCGTAATAGAACAAAAAAGGAACTTGACATCACCCTGATTTTAATTGTGCATAATGAAATTCCATTGTCATGTAATTCATCTTCATAAAAAATAATTCTTGATAAAACAATTTTTTTTTAATTCATCGATATTAATTTGTTCTTTTGTTTCTTCTAATGATGATTCCCCAGACACATACCATCTGTAGTAAAAGCTAAACGTCGCGTCCACAGGTTTGATTTTTTCTTCTAAATTTTCTGGCGTCGTTGAATCTTTCCATACATCAGAATGAGCAACTTTTATTGACTCTTTTTCATTATTGACACTCTTTAAAACATCCAAGGTATTAAATTCTAGTGAAAATCCTGACATGGCTAAAATTTAACTTATTATTAGGATTTAAAAATAGATGGTTAACATTTTATCTGTTATGCCATAGATATTCTGGGCACAATATTGGTAAATTATGGGATTGAAGGGCGCCGTAATCGCAGCATAAGTTTTAGGGTATAATGAGTAAGTTGTGTAGGTGTGGCTCTCTGGTGATTTGACAATTGAGCACGCTATAGATACGCATATGTACACGTATATTTTTAATGTGGATGAGTGTGTAAGTCTTTGTCGATCAATCAACAAGTCTAGAGGTATTGACATAATTACATTCGTTTGTCATCATCATCATATAACGGGGGTCCTACGGCGATTGCCGCTTCCCGCATTTCAGCCTCCATCTTTTCCTATCTCCCCAATCTCCCTCTTCTAAGCCTCTAGATTGCATTATTTTTGTAATTTCTCTTCTCCACGAGTTTGGTGGTCTTCCCCTTTTCCTTCTTTCTGGCGGAACATACATTAAGGCTTTCTTTGGCCACCGCTCCTCCTCCATTCTCATCACGTGACCATACCATTGTAATTGCCTTCCTTGTATTCTATCTGAAAGAGTATCTCTAATTCCTGTACGGTTTCGTATTTCCTCATTCCTGATTCTTTCCATTCTCGATACTCGACATGACCTTCTAAGATAATCCATTTCCACAACGTCTACTTTATCTCGTTCATTCTTTGTCATCGTCCAACATTCGGCACCATATGTGGTAATTGGTTCTACAATTGCTCTGTATACGCGAAGTTTGGTATGCATCTTTATTTTATTAGACCACAGTAATGAATTCAGTATTCGGATGCATTTTTTCCCTTGGGTTATTCGGTTTTGTACATCTACCATCTGGTGATATGATGCTTCCTAGATATTTATACTGGTTGCAGCCTTTTATGACTGCGTTTTCAAGCCTCAGATCTGTGGTATTTCCTCCAATTTTTAAATATTCTGTTTTGCTTATGTTTACAGTAAGCCCCCATTTGGCATATTCCTCAAATAATTTTCGATTCATATAATTTATATCTTCCTCATCGGTTGCAACCACCATCTGATCATCTGCAAACAACAATGTATACAGAGTTTCTTGTCCCACTTCGATGCCCATAAATCTACATTTATTTCTCCAATTCCTCAATGCTTCTTGGACGTATATTTTAAAGAGTGTCGGTGACAAACAGCATCCTTGCTTTAGGCCTTTAGTGACTTTAAATTCATTTGAGGTTCTGGTTCCAATTTTTACACAACTAACTGCATTTTCGTACAATTTATATATCGCTCGGATATACGTCGAATCCAATCCGGATCTTTTGAGGACCTCAAACATTTTCTTTAACGGGACACTATCATATGCTTTCTCAAGGTCTTTAAATACCAAATGGGTCTCTCTACTTCTTTCGACACGCTTTTCAATTATTTGTCGTAGGATAAATATATTATCAAGGCAGGATCTCCCGGTACGAAAGCCGCTTTGTTCTTCAATATCTTATATCTGTCTTTCAACCCTCTTCTTTAATATCTTGCCGTACAACCGGCCCACAGAGCTCGTCACACTAATACCTCTATAATTGGAACAGTCTCTTTTATTCCCTCTCTTATATATGGAGCTTATATAAGATTTATTCCAATCTTTAGGAATTTCCTGGTCTCCACACATACATTTATTGAAAAGGTCTACTATTAATTCTAAAAGTGCAGTCGGCCCATATTTAACCAGCTCTATGGGAATGTCTTCAGGCCCTACGGCTTTTCCGTTTTTAACCTCTTTTAAGGTTTCCGTCAATTTAGATAATGTTATTATAGGGATTTCCTGTCTTTCGTCTCTGTTGTCTATTAATTCCCTTATCTTTTCCCATCTCTACTCTACTCTATCCTCTTTTAGCAGTTTCGTATAATATTCTTCCCATTCATTTAACTTTATGAGAGAAATGTTGTCTTCATTTTTCTTATTTTTCCTAAACTGTTTTAATGTTTTCCAAGCTTGCGCCACTTTTGTTCCACCCATAAATCTGTCCAGTTCATCACACTTAGCCTCCCAGTTTATATTTTTCGCCTTATCCACGTCTTTTTTAACTTCTCTATTCCATTTAGCGTATATTTCTCTGTCTTGAGGATCTTTGGATTGAAGCCATATGTGATATGCTTGTTTTTTCTTGAGAACTTTCTCTTCTAGTTCCGTTGACAACCATTCAGGTTTTACTTTTTTCCGATTTTCAACTTTTCCCAGTGCTTCATTTGCCGCTTCATGAATATATTTTTTAATTACCTCATACAGACTTTCGGGGTCTAAGTCCTTTGCTTCTATATTTTTTATTTTCTGAGCTATTCTAATTTTATATAAGAACTTTGTCGAATCTTGTTTAAAGCTTTCCAGGTTATATTTTATGTTTTCTATGGTTGTTCCTATGTCTGTTACTTCATCATTTTTGTGACTTGATTGTTCTCTCTTAAATGTCACCATTACTTTTGCAATAATCATATGGTGGTCACTTCCACATTCTGGCCCTCTAAACACCTTCACGTCCTTCGTTTTTAGTTTAGAATCTTTACGATGAATGAAATAGTCGATTATTGATTTTAAATTCCTGGTAGGCTGCGTCCATGTAAATTTATGTATATTCTTATGGGGGAAGAAACCATTTAATATTTTCAAAGAATGTGCCTCGCAAAAATCTATTAATCTTTGACCATTGTCGTTCAGAATGTCTTCTCCATATCTCCCTATTATTTCACTGTTGGAGCTCTTTCCGGTTCTTGCATTAAGATCACCTAAGATCCAAATTTCTTTCTTCTTATTAATTGTGGCTAGAACAGTTGTTAACTTGTTAAAGTACTCTTCCTTGCTGTCAACCCTTGAGTCATCCGTCGGTGCATATGTTCCAATTACCACTATTTCATGGCCATTTTTCTTAATTTCCATGAGAATAATTCTTTCATCTATTTCTTGCCATGATTTCGTTTGTGATATTCGCAATTGATCTGATATGATACCCATAAGACGTTTCCTAGTACATCATTAATACATCTTCAAGCAGTATACAGTTAAAACAATAAGTTTTTTCGCACTAAATTCTCTTCCTAAACTTATGATAATTTATATAATGACTCAATGATTAAATAATGATTTAATGAACTTTTAGGCATTTTGTTTTTTTTTTAAGAATTCTTTTGATGAGAGTAGTAATTTTTTGGAAGAAGAACTTTGGTGAAATTAAGAATCGTGTATTTGTACGTGGGTTATCAGTAATTGGTAGCAATGCATTATTATCGATTATATTATTTATTAAGCATTTATATGGGATATACAACAGTCAATACCATTTGTAAATAATTTATGTGTGTCCAATGTAAAAAAATAACCATTTAACAATAGGCATTCCCTTCGACAATTTCCGCAACAATAATCGTGTACCTTACGCCTAATTAAAATTTAAAAATTATTGTGTACCCATTTTACCAAGCACGAGTAGAGTTCAAAAACAATAAGTATCGTTCTTTTGTTCGCTATTTTACCGGAAACTTTGAAAGTGTTGACTTCCGGAGGTTTGATGCTCCGGAACGTTAATAAATATCATACTAGGCACTTTTTAGCAAGGATAAACTCATATTTTGACGAATTATTGCATAAAGTCGTGTCGCAATAACCATTGCATAATGGATAATTGCACGTATTCCAAGGAATTTTCGCTAAATGTGTGACACTTGGAGGCCAGAGGCGCAACGATCGATGTATAGCTTTAGGTAAAATATTGAATAATTGAATAATTTGTAATACTAGGATATCAATATTTAAATTAAAGAGGATATAATGTTTAAAATACATCATAATAAATTCTTTGAGACCGTTACGTTGGTTATTAGCAAAAAACAACCAATAATGTAATAGGAGACGTTGTGAAATAAATTTAAAAAAATTTTAAAAATTTAATCAAAAAATCCTTTATAAAAAAGGATATTTATTTAAAAATATCCCTTTCGGGCTATTCCACAAAACATTAGTGAATACTTAAAAGTGAATAGACAATTGTTTCCTGGTATTTATAGATAAAATATTTTAAAAGCCTTGGTTTTTTTTCGCTGAAAAGGCCAAAAACCGTCAGGTAGTTATTATATTAAGAAAGTATGAGATAAAAACCGTTATCATTTTAAAAGAAAGTTGTCTAGAAGTGATACTTGGGTTTTTCTGATATAAAATAAGAGGCGAAATATAGAAATTTTCTGATCCGTTAGCGAGGTTGCAATTGGAAAAAGAGAGTGAATGTTTTGAAAGTTTGGAGTAAAAATTTTATTATGTGATGGTCGTCGGAGAGAAGTAGTTGAAGTTTTGTGTAATCAGTTTAGAAGCAAGTGCCAATAATTTAGTAATTAGAAGTGAGTGGCTAAAAGGTGGAACGAGAGATAGATCAATGCTAAGAAGTCGAATACCTCGTGGATTCTATAAAGTTTAAGTCAGAGATTGTTGGTATATAAAAGAGAGGAGAAAATTTTGGAATTTGTTGAACGCGTACTGGTAAAAGAGGCCTGCTCGTGTTTTTGGAGAAAGAGTTGCTGGTATGCTGATAGGTTGACACTTAGAACGGAGAAGGCTTTGATTGGTAGCCTAACATAGTCAACAAGGGGGAGCTGTTCTAGTCGAAAGAAGACATCGTCGTGTATGAGTTAAAAGGTCAGTCAATAATTTTAATGACAGAATTTTTTTTTGTATGTTTCAAATACAAAGACTATACTTACTATCAGAAGAACAAAAATTATTGCTATTTTAAGATAACATAGATTTTATAATATAAAAATTGTTTTAACTTCAAAGGGTAATTATTAATATTGCGTAATAAATTTAAAAGATTTCTTTTTATAACATTCAGAATTTTTTTGTACAAAAACTATAAACAAAGATTGCAATATTTAAAAAAATATCATATTATTTCTTTTGGTAATAAAAGATTTTTGTAATTTTTTATTTATGTTATTTCTATTTATTTCCTTTTTCTATTTTATCCCG